CCATTGAAAAAAAGGTTAAAAAGAACAAATGGCTAAAATATCGGGGGAAAATGACTAAATTCAGAATCTGCAATATTCTTTTCATGATTCTGCAACTTTTCTTCTAAACCCTGCTAGTTATGTCATGTTACTCAAATGTTTGAATCATTTGGTCCTTTTGACCATTGGTAAGGTCCTAGGGTCAATGGATTAGAGTTTATACTTAAAAATTTAGTCCTTTCTTATAACTTAATTTTTGTTAGAAGTGATCCCATTTAGACTTGGGATTGCTATAACTTTTGTTGGAAAAATACTCCCCAAACTTTTAATATAAGATCCATTTAACTAATTTGATTAGATTATAGTAGTTAGGTAAGTTAGTTAACTATAAGAAATATAATATGTTTTTCCTAAAATATCATAATCATCTTCCTTAATATCCTCAATCTCTCTTTTATTTGATTATGATTGAAGGAGTATCCATGAGGCTAATTTAAAAAAAATTGATAAATATGATAAATGAGTTTTCTACTTATGACTAAAATCAATCCAACAAGTAGATCCTATATTAAGAATCGGAGAAGTATTATTTTAAAAATTGATAGGGACACTGCAATATATGTTTGGAATATTGGTATAAAAAACCTTTAGGTATATTTATTAATGAAATGAACATGTGTTTATAATATTATATTATATTACTAAAATTAAACAACATATGATTGTAATTTGACATATTTAATATATTTATAAGTATATATAAAGTTATAAATCAAGACTAAATTATAAAAACATGTTTTAAAATAATATTTTGCTGAAGAGAGCATTAAAAATGAATAATTGACATTGAAAAGTAAGTAAAAATTAATTTTTTTAGGGAATATATAATAAGTAATATTAGGCTAGATTATATAAAATGTATGTCAATCTTATGTTGCATGTAAGTAACTGTTCAAACATTTGAAACTTTACGATAGATTTCTTTGAATTTTTACATTTATGTAGGTAACTTCTTCTCTTTTTTATTATTTATTTGCAAATAACTTAAAATGTAAGGAAATTATTAGCAGATAATTCAAGGTTTGAGATGGAGTTATTTGTGCATACTTGAAAATTTAGTAAATTTATTATCAAATTTTAAAGGTAAAGAGGGTTATCAGTAATTGATTATAAAAAAAAAAAAAAGAGGGAGTTATCTGTACATAGTTTAGAGTTGAGAAGAATTTTGTACTTCTCTTGCCTTAAATATAAAAGCTAGTTAAGAAGTTGGTTTTTATTTTAAATATAAGGTCTTAATTAATTTTTTCTATCATATTTATCATTTTTCTCAATCTACTTCATCTATCTTATAAACTAATGTACTACTATAATTTTATATTATACAGGGGTATTTTAGGGAGATCAAATTACATTTATTAAAATAAAATATTTTATTTAGTTTCATTAATCTATTCAAATTGGTAAAATAATTTTTACATTAATGAGGGTATATATCTGTTCACCAAATAACTTGACCGCAAGTGGACGAGTCGCAAGTAATACAAAAAGTATCGTTCCCTCAGAGACTAAGACTAGATGAGTTGAAAAATCATAATTGTGTATTTGATTAGGTTAAGTGAAATAATTGTTGTAAATGAGTTTGTGAAATGAAAATTAAGAAAAACAATGGTTTAAAGCAGTATAGAATCAAATCGACCTTGAAACAATTAAGAGACTAGGGTTATTCTTTACTAAAATACTTTATGAAACTGGATTAATTACTTCTCAAATAGTGTTTTACAATGAATTCAGTTAGCCTGGGTTTATAGAATTAATTAAGCTTTCTCAAGTCAAAACCAAATATTGCAAACACAATTAAAACACAGCAATCTCTTGCATTTGTTTGAAAGGTTGCTCTTTAAAAACCAAAACCCATTTAGTCTATGCTAGGTCAATAGATACATCTCTAATCAATCGACAAACCATCTATTCACTCAAATAAATTTCTGGACTAGCATGTTTTTACCAAAGTTCATGAATTAGTTTAACTTTCTCAAGTTAAACTAATTAATCAATCAATCCAAATGATGGCCAGGCAAAAGGAAGCATTAAGCTCAAAGTGAAAACAACTGAATATTATTATTAACACTAAAGAGATAGTAAAACCCAAGTCTCAATCCATACAATAGATCAAAATAACCCTAGAAAAACGGATTTAGCTATACATATCGAGTAAATAACTACAACTATAAGAGTATCTAGTAGTCATAGTAGAAACAAGAAGGGAAGAAGAAGGAAACCCAGAAAATTCAAGATACAAGCTTTGAATCTCTTCTAGCTTCAAGCCCAAAGGTTCCAAGCCTCCAAAACTCCAAACCCTAGCAGAGCCAGCCTCCAAAATTGCTCCAAAAGTCGAACTCTCTCTAGAAAACCCAGTGTCCACCTCTATATGCCCTAATTTTTTAAGTTAGGAAGTAAAATGCACAGCTACAAGGGGCCAGGCGCCGCGACACCTATTACAGAATGGCATTGTGACTCAGGCGCCGCGGCGCACGTGATAATCGGCCGCAGCGGATTTCACCGAACAAGTTTCTTCCGAGATAGCTTGGGCACCGCGGCGGATTTCACAGAGGCGCAGTCCTCCCTTTCTGTGTGATCCGCCGCGGCGTTTTCTTCCATAAGCCGTGGCGGATGGCTTCTTTTCAGCTCTTCTCCATTCTTTACTCTTCTCAGGCTTTGTTTCCTGTAAAATTGACTTATAAACCCAATAAAAGAAAGTTAAATCAGCTTAATTCAGTAGGAATTTTGAGAGGTTATCAATATCTTCCCTACCCCTAAAATAAACAACAAATTATTCGTATTATGTCTATTTGCTACACTTTGAAAACCAAAACAACACAAAACAGAGGCAAAGAAGTGAGAACATGCAGAACAGAAGAAAACATGCTTTCAACTCCACATGATTGGTTCAAATTCCAAACATTAGGGGCCTATATGAGGAAAATGGAAGGAAGGGGAGAAAAAATTTGAATGAGCTCGTTTTGAAAAATTAAAGAAGTGGGGTTAAAATTTTTTTGATTAATTTTAATTACTATTTTATCTTACATTTTTTTTGGTTAAAATTTGATAACTCCACTTCTTCAATTTTATAAAATAAAGTCATTAAAAGTTTTCCTCCCATCTCTTTCCTTCTATTTTTCTCACACCAAACAGACCCTAAAAGAGTCACAATGATTCGAAACTGATTAATTTGCATTTTGTGGCCGGGGGATTTTCATGGGAGGGAAATGTGAATGAGTTTCGTTCTTATGCGTTGTTGACATCCAAATCGAATCTCATACATTAATGAGTCTAATATGGTGAAGTATTGAGTTTTTCTTATGTTTTTTTAGGTATAGGTATTTTTTTTTATTGGAGATATTTTTATTCGACACGCTCTTAACCTCCAGTAATAATTTGAATTTTGATTCGCTATGTTGTTATTTTGAACTATAGTATTGAGTTGTGCTGTTGGAACTTGAAGCCTTTGGACAAAAATGGTCTGTTTCTGCCTAATTTTGGGTCACTTCTTTACAGGCCTCACAGTTATCCCATCATACTGTTAAGCAAAACCCAGTGGATTTATTATACAATGCAACCCATTAATATATAGCCCAAAACGATTGTAAATATTATTTCTAGCGAATAGTATAGTACTCCTTCGGTCCTAAATATAAGACCCTTATATTAGTATGTGTAAGGTTCTTATATTTAGAACCGGAGGAGTATTATTCAAGAGCAATTTTTGTACCAAAAAAAAAGGAGCAACTTACAATCATTTTGGCATAACTTAAATGTTTGCTATGCTTTTTGACAAAAGGCCCATTCACAAAGCTGAAATTTTCTGAAGTTGCCCAAAATATATTTTCATATGCAATTTTTTTGGGTACTTTCGACAAAATAAATGGAATCATGGAGACATAGACTGTTTTTCCAAAGTTTTTATATTTTTATAGTTCAGAATAGAAAGTGGAAGTGGGTTGAGGGCTTCGAAGCTTATTGCCTATTTTATATTATAGGGTATGACCTTTGGTTCATATGATTAAATTGTGAATAACTATCCTAGTCTTATTTTTCGAACTTCAAATTTATTTTAGAATATCATAAGTACATCGGATAATGTTGTGATATGCTAAATCAGTTAATGCTCTTTCACACAAGAGGATCATGTGTCTCTTTTTCTTTTTCCTTTTCTTTCCCGAAAGACTCGGTGAAAACTCCGTTTTCATTATGATCAATTTCTCATTAGATTAGAGTGACAAGCTCATTGGACTCTAGATATTATGTAATTAATTAATTAATTTTTTGTTGAGTAAATGTTCATTTTAAACACAAGTGCTAAATGTATAAGTTGAGCTAATTTCAATGATTTTGGATGCGGCCTCAAATATTCCAATTAATCAACTAATTAAGATAATAAGAAATAGTATGAAATATTGAGAAGTGGTGATTTTACAATATCTCAATGGCATAACTAAATGTCCTCCCTTCATTGCCAAAACAAATTCTTCTCATCCTCAAAACGAGCCCTTGTCATTATTTTCATTGAACTTCCATTATTACGTGACCAGTTGAGTTGTCATTATTTTTCCAAACCTTTGAGCTCCTCCTGTCAGGACTCTCCTTTATATACTAATATAATTGTTCTACTTAATCTCAAATCATTAAAAGCTAGGTACCAATCCTTGGGAAGACAATTTTTCTTTTTGTTCCCAAATACAAAGTCTGATCCTGTTCAAGGAATGAGATTTTCTGAAAAGTTTTAGACCTTTCAAAACTCACTTTCATGTAACCTGTCTAGTGGTTCGAGTATCTAATTTAACCCTTTTACAAAAACGGTAAAAACCGTCTATGACCCATGGTTCGTATTCAACCATCGAACCCATTCTTTTTCCATCCAACCTTTTGGATCCCATATCAAATCAATTATAGCCAGTAGGATCTAACATTCAATATTTTGGCCATTGGCTCGTACAACGAGTTACATATACAGATACACGTAATTTTAGACAAAATAATAACTATATATCAAAATATTGATCATTTCTTTCAATAGCAGTTACCATGGTTTATCAGCCCTTAGCCACCTCCTTATGGAGAAATATCTACAAACCAAAATAGATATACAATATATCTTCACTTCAAAATAAGATGCATTTTAGCAAAATATATATACACAAAAGATCGCCAGCTTCCTGCGCCTTTAAACTCCACCGATCACTACTCCCTTGCCCTTAGGAGTACTTGCCCTTGCTGTATTACATGGAAGAAGGGGTGAGATTCTAAAGAATCTCAGTAGTAACAAATTTCCCTCACGTAATCATACAAGATCACAAACACATGCTACACAGGCCAAAGAGAATAACACCTTGCATCCAAATATAATCAATGATGCATATACACCATACACCCATATAGCTAATCGCTATCTATCACGCCCACATTCCAAAATAAATGGAAACCAGCGCATATTGTCATGACAAATATTATTATGCAAAGGCAACTTACATGTTCTCATGCATAATCAGCATAAAGGCACATCCAAGCATGTGGTAATCAATCCACAATCACATTAAAGGAAAAGAGTTACTACCTTTTGCTTTTTCTTCCGTACTAACTTCCCCTTGCTTCTTCCTTGGCTCCCTTCTTAATGGACTTGAACAAATATCAAATCCTATAAATTATATAGGCAAGGATAGATTAATATATATATATATAGGTATAAGTATTTAAGTACTCTCCCATTTCCCTCATGCTTCCCACGGTCATACTTCCAAAAGTCACACACGCATATATATATATATATATATATATATATATATATAACAATTATACTCCACAAACTTATAAACAATTAGCATACATTAATCTTTTCGGATATTTCTCCCACAATTCCAGCTTCATATGCGTCATTCTATTTCCCATTTTAAGGTCCAAAAATCTTGATTCAGTCCTCTCAAATCAGTATTCAAATTCTACATTAATCTCAACAACCTTGCTAAGCTGTAAACTTTTTCAGATTTCAATATCTATCTTCACACTTTAATCAATTTCGGACAGCACCCCATGCTTCCAAAAATATTTTAATATGTGTACACTGAGGGTTAATCATCTCTCTTCCCTTCCTATTTTTCACGCCACAGTCATAAGCAATTCTGGAAAAATTTTCCAGATTCTAAACATACTCCCAATTTGGAACAGCACTCTTTACTTTAGTTCTAAAAATTCTCCAGCTTTAAAACTATTTTCTTACTATCACAATAGAGCTTTTAAACCTGATCCAATAACTCAAATAATAGCTGTAGAGCATCAACCCGTAATGATCCTTCAATTTTCCAGCTTGAGATATTGCCACTAAAATTCCAGATTTGACACGGACAACACCTACACACATACGTGTGTGTGTGTATATTACATCTACACCTCCAAGGTTCTCAAACTACCACCGAACAAACTGAACGTCCCTGTTTCGGTAACTAAAACCAGAGTAATCAACTATACAAGCAAGTGCAAAAATTCCAACCACAAACTCTATCCTCACCATTAAGCACGATTTTTATAGCTTAGCTCTCATGCTCTTCACTTTCTCTCTCAAAAACCAGATTTCATTTCATCATCGTCTTGCAACACATGACCAAATAACAGAAAACAAAGATGGAAGAAGATTCAGGAGACTCACCTGGTTTGATTTCCACTTTTAGATGAACCGATTGTCTCCTTCAATCACCTCCTCTTCTTCCTCGTTCTTCCCCTAGTCCACCGTCTCTCTCTTTCTCTGTTTCAGTCGTGCAGCAGGGGAAAATAAGAAGGGAGAAGATGTTAGGTCGGTGAGGGCTGTAGAATGACCATTATACCCTTTGGTCTTTATTTTCCCTTCGATTTGATCCTTCTCTATTTTTCCAGGATGATCAGATAATTCCAGAAATCAAACCTGGATATTTTATATGAATTTTCTTCTTCCATTAGCTTCTTTAGTCCATAAAATAATTTTCCTAAAAATCTCAGCTCAAAAATTAGCCTCTAACTATTTTTCTTGAATATTCCAAGAAAATAGGTCCTAAATTCTTGAAATTAACTTTATAATTATTCAGACCATATTTTAAGGGTCTTAATCTCAACAATTTCTCTAAAAATTTCTCCTTCATCATGCTTTACTCAAATCCATAAAATTTGGGATATTACACCTCCCCCCCCAAAAAAAACACACACACACACACACGCAAACACTTACGCTTCAACTATCCTTTGGGATGACAATAAAGAATTATGATGTGTCCATTTAAACCAAATGGTAAATGGTGGAAAAAGAGACTACATTACGAGATGCAAACAGAAGAATGTTAATACTTCCTTCGTTCTTTATTCTTTGAATCTTCATGTTGTCCCTAAATATATGTATGGTTTTCAAATTTTAGGATGGTATTAAATAGAGGTGATTAAGATCTGAAATAGTGTGAAACTAAATGGAAGGCAAAACTGAAAAAGCAAAAATAATTCTTACGTTGTATATAGATTTTTTTCCCTTGGTGTGTATGTGTGTTTGTGTGTTTTTTGTATCAGAACCAGTAAATGGAAATGGAGGAATATAAGGCCTTGTTTGATTTCCTCACTACCTCGATGTCTCCGGTCTCCGATCTCTTCTTCCTCCCTTCTGAGTCCTCAGTCGGTGACTCCCCAGTCTTTACTCCTTTTCCCCAAGTCTTATTAATTCAGTAGGTTTTCATGACAATTTGTTTTTCATGTTTGCTGCAGCAAGTATATTATTAAGTGCTTCCAGTGATATTATTTTATTGGCTGGCTACCATATTTATGGGGGTTACTAATCGTTGATCATAGGTGTTATTCAATTAATGGCCTCAATTAAGTCTGGCGATTGTGGCAGGTGATACTGTTAGCTAGATGATAGAACACGAGCAAAAAACTACTTTGTGTTCTAATGAAAACTGTTCAGTGGCTCGTCCCTGGTGTAAGCTCTACTAATTTAATTTCTTGCTTAGGCATTGGCAAAGGTAATATAATAACACCCTTCTCCCCCCCCCCCCCAAAAAAAACAGACAGATATAATAACACCCAGAAGATGCATTTTTGAGGGTTTAATGTGCTGCCTTTCGTTTGTTATTTTCCCTGTTGTGTTGTTTATGACAACCTAATTCTTGGTTCAGAGAGCAGTTTTAGTAGCCACAAATACCTTTTACTCAAGTTATAACTCTACCACGATCAAATTATGCAATCTCTCACCCAACTATATAGTATATAAGGCAGAATCTAATCCAATTTCACTCTAATTTGATTATGCAGAACCTCTAGGTGTGTGTTTATATGCCTATATCCTACATGTACTGCAATTTAGGATTTGCTTTGTCAAGTTCAATCCTAAATCCTCAAAACATGCTCAGTGGAGGCTATATCACTCAGCAAGAAATAATACAAACAGATTAAGTAAACTGAATTAAGAGTAAGCATAATTAACCCGTGGAAAAATCTCTAACGCGCAAATAAGTTCATAAATGCTCTACATCAATGGAAAAGCTATCAACACATGGCTTTTATTAAATTCATCTCAACAACAAACTAGCCCAGAATTAACAAAATAAATGGAAAAGGAAGAAGAAAAGATAATCAATGGAATGCAAACAGAGGGTGAAGATGGTAAAGGACTGAAGGTGGGTGACTGTACGTAGATGACGGCGAAGAGTGAGACTGGTGGTTAGGCGGTCGATTGGATAGCCGAAGCTAAAGATGAAAACGGTGTTGTTACTGGTCCGAGAAAGCAAGGATGAAGAGGAAAAGCTCCCGCAATATGGCATCCTCTCTCTGGTCCAGACGGCGTCGCAGAAGAAGAACCAGTTCGTGTTCCCCTCAGCTGTTGCTCTCGACTCCAGCAGAAGAAGATGATCGAAACCCCTCAAAAATGGCGTTCTGCCCTCTGGTCCTATCTCCGCTGGCTCCTTCGCTATCGCTGTCGAAGAAGAAGATGAAGACTGAGGTACAGATCGGCATTCAAGGCCAGCACGACCTTCAAAGTCGATCCAACGGCGTCCAACTTCCGTTCAGGAAGGAGACGGAGTCGGCCTTAACTTGCGTCCTTCCCGTCGAGTAAGAAAGTCAACAGTGGTCCACGCGTGATACTCGTGGGGGCCTGCTGGTGCTAGGTTTCCGAGCCAGGTGGTCCTCCCATTCCCCAGCAGAAAGAAGAAGAGGAACAATAATGATGTAAAGAAAAGGGATTAAAAGTTTAAAACAAAATAAAGTAAGGTTTTATATTTATTTTAAACTCCAATTGTTTGCTATTGTTTTCTTCTTCACACAAGTATTCTCCTATTATAAGTAATTTTATTCAGGTATTGTTAGACACTAAATATAAACGTGAAAATTGTTGTTACTGTTATCCTAAACGTAACCAGTATTTTTGTTTAAACAAAAGATTGATTTCTCTTTGTAAACTGATTTAGAAACTCTAAAATTATGACTCCCCAAATATATTCAAGTATACTTCAATTCTGGGTAAAAATAGGGACTCAACACTTCGCATTATTCTTTCTGAGTGTGTTGGTAAGGATTGATGCTCTAGAGAAGTATGTGTGGGAAGTTTTATTGCTAAAGACTTACTGAAGAAAAAAATAAAGACAGACTGGCGCCGTGGATTTCCAACAGGTAGTATTCTCAATGAGAGCTAAACTTTTTCAGCACTCACTGAAAAAGGGAGTCGATATGTGGAGAACGGGAGTGAGGAAGTCCAAACACCGGACAATGTGAGATGGGAAAGCACGAGGAACAGGAAGGGAGGGGCAGCCTGAGGAATTTACCAAACCCTAAGAATTTTTAATTCTTAAAACAATAAAAAATAAAAATCGGTGGCTGACACGTATGATTAAAACCATTTGAGTTGTAACATTCTTATTGGGTGGAGTACAGCTGCACTGGTAGTGTGGAAGTGCCCAAGGATTTCTCCTGATAGCACATAGGAAACAGCTACCACAGAGGATCCGCTCTTTTTTTACTTAAATTTATTTAACTAATTTAATTAAGGATTAATGCAAACCTTAATCCTTCAAGTTTGTCTTCATTTTTGTTTTAGTTCCTCAAATTTCAAATCATAGGTTTTCGTTTTTCAAGTTTCTTTTCACTTATAACACTGGTCCCTGTAATCCAATAAAAACTTGAACCATTTTGCCCCTTTAGGGACCAAAAATATGGTTTGAAATTTGAGGGGCTAACACCAAAATGAGGACAGACTTGAAGAACTAAAAATTATATTAACCCTTTGATTAAAGTAAAAAAAGTTAGATAAGTTAGTTAATTTTAAAAAATATAACATGTTTTTTTTCAAAACATCATAATCATCTTTCTTAAACTGCGCAATTTAGTTAATAAGGGACGGAGGGAGTATTATATTTATGACTAGAATTAACTCAAATAATTAAATCTTACAGTAAAGATCAGGGGAGTACGCACTTATTGATTGTTCCTTTTAATATATCTTTGTTTGTTAGCAATAAATATTGTCTAAAATTTATTATTAAACTTGCAAAGGGAGAAAGACACAAAGATGTTCCCAAAGCTCCCGTAAACTAAAAGTGATCCAATCATTGTGAAGTCTTTAATTGTCAACGCCTTAATTATTGTCATTTGATAAGTTACAATTAATACTTACTAAATTTTTGTTATTCATATTCAACAACCTACTAGCACTTGTCAATGTAGAACTGGAATTTTCCTTGCTTGTAAAATTAGTTATTATCGTTTTATTATGTGTTTTTGTCATTCGACAAGTTCAATTATTACTTGGTTACCATTGATATTTAGCAACCTACTAGAACTTATTAATGCAAAAAGTAGAAATTTCTGAGAAATTAATTATCACTATCTTATTTGTTGTCATTTGATGTTTAGCAACCTACAAACACTTATTAAAGCAAAAATAGAAAAGTGGTGGAATTGATGGTGTAGCATTAATGAATAGCAAGCATTATCAACTTCATAGAATACACATGTGCATTATCAAATTATTGTCGAGAGAATATCAATAAGGATAATTTTAAAAAATTGATAAATATAAAAAATAGGCATTACATTTAGAATTATGATTAACTCCCTAATCAGGTCATACATCAAAGGACATAGGAGTATAAGAAACACAACTTATTATCTTGCGATTTTGTGATATGAATGGCATGCTAATATAAGTTTAAGACTTGATGGGAATTTAAATTGGTGGCCCGGAGATTGTCAGGACATTGCCACTCTCAGTTCTTCTCCATCGGTCATACAAATTCAAAGCTCTTGTTTTAGTTCTCCTCCACAGGTCAGACAAATATGAAGCCAAATTGCCTGCTATTTCTACTATTTTCTTATGGTTGAAGTATATGAATAGCAACAGTAAACAGATAATGAAGACCAGTGGTTGGAGAGAGCAGTGAACCAAGATTGATAGTTGAGCAGCATAAGCCAAACTTCCTGAGGTAAAGGCTACCTTAATAGAGCAATTTAGCGAAGTAGTACCAGTTGGGGTATAAATCTGACATTTTATATGGCATCCAAATGCAAAACAATAGAAAAGTGTGCATATGATAAAAGCCCATACACTTGCAAGGTATTCATGTAAAGGTGATGAACTGGGGAAGTGCATTTGAACAATCGACCTTATCTCAGGAATTAGAAACACAAATGTAGCATGCCAGGGGGGTGAGCTGCACAACCATCAGATTAATTAGAAACAACATAATGACATCATCAAATAAATAATTGTTTTAATATAAGCATT